ATGTATGTTGTTTTAAGCTTTGGAAAAAAAAATAATTATATATATATATATATATATATATATATATATATATACATAATAAATTATAAAATAATATCCACAGCAAGTCCTTATAAATTGAAAAAAATCCACAGCAAGTCCTGAGAAAATGGGGAAGGGGAGAGGGGTTGATGACAAGGGCCTCTTCCCTGCAATACTGGTCTGGTTATTGTAGGAGGTCTGCAGATTGTTTGTTTGTTTTTTTGGGGGGGGGGGGCGGGGTGTGATTATTGGAATCTGGAAGCCCCCCTTAGTTACTGGAACACCCAGATACTGCCTCCTTCCCCCATATGCACGAGCAAAGGGCAAACACACAGTTTAAAAAAAAAGTCCCAGCCCATTCTATGGGACCTCCAGTTTTTTTTGCAAGTGATGCAGAGTAACACAGGAACAGAGATGAGGGTGGCCTCTGTCCTGTACTCTACTATAAGATATGACATTTTCAAGTAGATCAAAATGCATCTAGATCATACAAGACACATGCTGGATATTTACTGATGCTGAGATTCACCCAATGAGGACAGGCAAATGGCAGTTCGACACATTAGAAATTTGTGTCTCCTACTGTGAATTCCTGGATAAATGCAAATATGTAGATAAGCATCTTGGATGTCTACTGATGCTAAGTATTTATTTTAGACGTAGTAGGTCTTAGTACCCAAGGGGGCATGGTGACACAGAAAAATCAAGTGCAACAATGCCGAGGCTTTTGCACATAGAAGTGAGCATATCTACACTGGCAAGCATATTGGATGAAATCATAACATTATGTTTATGAGGGGCTGGGGATAAGAAATCTTTTGCGGCCTCTTTTAAACACTTCCTCTCGGTCCTCTTCATTCCCCACAAGGTCTGCATCCTCTAGAGGAAGAATTTTGCTTTCTGACTCCAGCAGAAACAGTGGAGGTGGAGAAGCAGCTTGGCGCTTTAGTGCTCTGGATAGTGATGACTGCTTTGAAACCATTAGTTGTTCAGGAAAGTCTGACAGAATTGCAGAGAAATGTGCCTTGGTAAATAGGCTGCTTGCTGCATGCCTGAGATAGAAGCAGAACCAGATGCAGATACCAGTGTTCAAATAGGGTATAATAAGTGAGGCTACAGTATCAGTCCAGTACATGGTAAACGTGTCCTACCTGTTCAAGTTGCTGGTCCTAAATCAGGGTCTAGGCTTCACCCATCATGGTGTGTATACCCCCCGAGGCACCATCAGTACCTACGATTTCATAGGGATGGACCACTGCCCAGGACCTGTTTAGCACCCTGCAGCAAAGCTACACATATTGTACTATGAGGTGAGGCAAACACCCAAACTGGAACCAGTGCCCTAAGCAAGATTACAGGCTGTCCCCACAACATGGGGTCTAAGATTGCACTGATCCAGAGGCACTGCTATTGTTAACTGAAACATCCAAAGTAAAATTTATAAACTAGTGAAGCAAATGATTTAGTTGTAGGGGAGATGATGTCCATCACCTTATGTATTAAAAAAAAAATGGGGTACAGTATAGAGGTACACCTAGCGGGTGTGTCCAGCAAAGATTTGCAAGGGTCCAATCACTTGAAGGTACCAGCCTATAACCCCAGGGTCTATGAATATTCAGCATTTGTCATGTAATGTTCAATTAGATCCTAGATTGTAAGCTCGAAAGAGCAGGGCCCTCGATGCCCTCATGTTTTGCATTGTATTGGTATTGTTCTGTCACATGTTCTGTCCCCCTTTGTAATGTACAGCGCTGAGTGAACTATTGGCGCTTTATAAATACTGTATAATAATAATAATAGCTTTGTCGACATTGTTTTCATTGTTTTTTTATGTATGTGAAGGAGAGGGTGCTACAAAATGATCAGTCTGGGTGTCAAATACAATAAGAATTTAGGAGTTTACATGCTTTTTCTCATTACGGTTTTGTCTAGTCCGCTCTATCTGCTGCATCTAAACCTGCAATAAATAAAAACTGTATATGATTCACCTCGGAAAAATGCAAACACCACAAAAAAAAAAAAAATCAGACACACTGTGCTGAATCTATTTTTATTTAGACATTCCTTCTTTGGCAATATTCCCTTACACCCAAATTTTGGCATTAGCAGAATGTTTATACATACAAAATTAAAAGTAGAAACACACACAAAGAATAACAGCTTTGCAAAAGCAAAATAACTTTTTGCCTGTCAATGCAAACTGTAGTTCATTAGTTCAAACAACAAAAATATAATTTGTCACCTTGCATTCAGGGTCTTTGGTGCCAAAGGGCCAAATCAAGTTGTTAAAGCAGAACTCTAGTCAAAAGTAAGAGAACAATGAATAGCCCCTTTAAAGATGAATTTTAAAAACCTTTTTCTGCTGCAATATCAACCTTCATTTCAGAAATCCCCCCACAGTATGTTTTTCTGTTATTAGACATCCTGAGTCTGAAGTGGAGCATCATTCAATTCATATCCTCTGAGCCCTGGTCATCCTGATTTTCATCCCCCAGTCTGTGTATAGATCAGTGGTTGTCAACTTCTAAGCTAAAGGGGGCCTCAAATGAGGCCTATGACATCAGCACAGGGCCGCACATAAAGTTCAATATATGTAATGCTCGAGAGGACTGTCAGAAACTGCAGACTTAATAGAGGAAATGAGGGTCAGAGACTTTGGACATGCTACATTTTTGGCTGGGGATATGCTGTAGAAGACAGTTTGAAACTGGGATCAGGTTACATGAGACTAGTAGAGATCAATGCTATTATCCTAATCAATGTTCCCACTACAGACTGCTGAAGGCAGACGACTGCAAATCATATACCAAAAGGCTGCATGAGGGGCCGCAGGCAGAGCACCAGGGGTCTGTACAGTGAAAGGAGAAGCAGCACAATGATGACATCTCTCTGTCCTCCAATCAGCAGTGTTTCTTGTCAGCACATGTGCTCCTTGTGCTACTTTCTCTCATATGCCAATCCTGCTGTACAAGGACTGCATGAGGCAGATACTGGGTCAAATTCAGGTACTTACACTGCTGCATTAAAAAAAAAAAAAAACTACATTTAACAATGTTTTAAGGATAAACTGTACTAATTTGTGTCTTTTAGATCTGTCTAGAGCTCAGTTTTAAGAACTGAAACAAGTGACTGAATTTTCAGAATATACACATAATGGTTAAAAAGGGAAATATGAAATAAAGCACAATGGTCATTTAGGATAGGTTTATTCAGCATTTGCTGTTAACAGTACTTGGAGTATGAGTTTTATTTATCACAGTGGGGATGGTAGACTACCATTTCTATAACTTTTTTTTTTACCTATATATCCATAATAAATGAAACCATATAATTTTAAAACTTTAGGGGTCTGTGACCTGCTGTGGCAGTATGTACTTTATACAAGGACCAACAGTAAACTGAATGTGCTGAAAATAGAGATAACCGAATGCAAACATCAATGGGTACTTTTAGAGTACATTCAAATAAGTGCCTCTATTGCATTCACAGAATCATTTCACATGATATAAAAACTGCAAGTGAATTGCTGAAAGATGAGGGCTTGTCTTTATTCTGAACATTTCATGCTCTAACAGTAGCCCCTCATGATCAGGCCCCGTCTGGGCAAAAAACAGACACAGGAAATGTACAAATAAAAGTAGTCTACATACTAGTTTAGTTTTTTCCCCCAAAAAATCTTTTTGGCTAGTACTGGGGGTAAATTAAGTCACCTAAAACATGTGGCTTTCTATGCATGTCTGCTCTGGTTTCTCTTGATCCAGTGTGTATTATTTCATTAAAAAATGGAACAAGAAAATTGAAAGCCTTAAACCATAACCAATCAGGGAATACAGACAAAAGATTTACAAATGGTTCAAACACATTGTTATGTTAAGCCCATTTATATGGTGCATTTGAAAGTAATCTTCATTATGCAATAGTTCACTCACAGTCTAATATCTTAGCATTCTGTTTGAAATGAAACGGGTATTTTTCTCATTATAACAGTACTCTTTTTAAGCCAATCACTGAGCTGGCTATCGTGCCTAACTGTAGAACATAAGGCATTAGTAAATCCTGTTAATAGGTCACTCTGTTCAAAAGGATAAAAGTAAAAATAAAGAAAATTGTTTTACACAATGTCATTAGAAGAAAAAAAAGCAACTACAAGGGTCATCACTTCCCTGTAACTGAGAAATACCTTCACCAAATAAAATATTCACAGGAATAAAGCATTTTCTTCCATGACAGGTAGATAACCTATTTTCCTTAAAAATAAAATTGAAAAAGGAAACAAGAAAAGATTCACACATTTAAAATGTGAAGTTTACATTTGAATAGCCCAAACATTATATAAGCAACAGAGCAAAAAAAAAAAAATAATAATAATAATTAAAAAAGACGTTAATATGACTTAATGGGAAGAGTGGAGTGAAGAACATAATTTAGAATTTTTAAATGTTACTATTGTAATGTGATCCTGTGAAGTCCTACTTTCAAAAATACAAGGCATTAACCAAGTTTCCGCTACACAACAGAATCCAACAAGCTGCCATTTATATGGCAAACAGAGAAAATAAATCATCACAGCAGCTTTCTTCTAGGACATTAAAAAGTATATATTCTGGAGGTAGAGATCACAGTCTATGCTATATACCATAAACAAGTGGATCACATTGTATCTTCATTGGAACAGTTAGTGATATGAGCGTTCTAGAGCACCATGTGGAGCAGCTAGATACTCAATTAGTGCTTTCCTTATTGATATCAGTCTATGAATTAAAGAGGCTGGCTTCCTGAATAGACCAGAGAGTAACCAGTGATCCATGTTTTAATAACAATAAAATAGCCTCTGGAAACATGTACATTTTTTTTCACAATGAGTTCTGGAAGTGCCTTCGTCATCTACAGCAGAGAAAGGGGCACAATTAAAAGTACAGAGAACTGCCCCAATGTAGTGTAAAAGATGCTGCTAGAGATAGAATTAACTGCAGTAGCTGCTACTGACCGGCTGAGTATGGCCAATTGAAACTGCTTCCTGAAAGGAGCATGTCCCTGATAAGTGTCTCTATGGGTGTTTTTCCCACTAGCCTCATGAAAAATAGCTGGGAAATGAGGGATGCAGGCACAGCTCTGAGAGCAGGTAGACGCAATAGGAGACGGCCAAAACGTTGAGGTTGAGAGGGATACTGAGCTCGCACATATTCTGTGAGAGCCACTTGAGCTTTTTCTTGTAAACTCTCCACATGAGCTGGGTCAGTGAGGCCACAGGCATCTGGAAATAAAAAAATTAAAAAAAAATTGTTTACAGGTCTAAAACACATTCAACATGTTATAAAATTATCCAAGAAACTTAATAAGCTAAAATAAGCTGAAGATGCAGAATGAATAAAAAAAATGAAGAAAACTAAGGTAAAAAAAGGAAAACAAAAATGGCAGGAAGTTTGTAAGACAACTTCAAACCGGTCAGCATAACACTGTTACCTGATGTAAAGAGGGAAATTGCTTTCAGGCAGGCATACTCTGCTGAGAGTCCACTTGAAGTCGGTTAAGCTTCTCTACTTGGTCCTGGAAGACCCTTATCTGGTCCATAAAGGAGACCACCCTGTCTGCAGACATTGGAGAGGCATGGAAACCAGCAGCAGCCAACAGAGGGGCCATGTGTAGTGGAAGGGCTGACTGTGCTGCATTTAACACAAATAGTTCACTCCAGCTCAGCCGCAAGAGAGAGACCTGGTCTGCCATAGCAAGCTCTGGAAAATAAGGGATGTTCCTGGACCATTCCACAGTACTAAAAAGAAGCCTTGCAGCCAATTCACAGATGTTGTCAATGCCCATAACACTGCCCTGCTGAGCATACTGTGATCCATAACGTGATGTTGGGTAGGGTTCTGCCCGAAGGAGCTGAGAGATGAGTTCAGAAACAGGCTGTCCATTAAAATATTCTCCACCCCCTGGAGCGGTAGTAGGGCTTGCACTGGAATGAGCAGGAGGAATGCGTCCCCTCTGGACCGCTAAATGTATAGAATAAAAAATAGTGGATTAAAACAGGTGCATTAAAATAATTCATACACAAAACATGCACTTGTAAAGAAGACACAGTAATGCATTCATCAATTTGAGTTACTGGCATGAGGCACTATATTTTTTCCAAAATGTAGATAAAGTCCATGAATGAAAATTAAACACAAAGGGTTTTTTTTTTTTTTTTTTTTTTAATAATTCGCAAAGTAGCCTGCCCAGTGAAAATTTATGTACATTTATTCTATGTAAAAAGTGGAAAAAAAAAACAAATGTTATTAAGCTGGACAAGTGTATCTAATTGATTTTGAAATGGAAAATACCACATTTGGCGACTAGATAGCATTAAGCAACATAAGAACTTCCTTTTTTAACCAATTGCCTACGGAGCACTTTTATCCCCTTCTGTCTCACTTTGAATGACGATTGCACGGTAATGCAACACTGTACTCATGAAATTTTTAGCATTTTTTTTGAGACAGATTGAGCTTTCTTTTTGTAGTATTTAATCACCTCTGGGTTTTTTATTTTTTTGCTAAACAAACCAAAAACAACTGAAAATTTTGAAAAAAAAAAAAAAAAAAAGTTTTTTTCTTAGTGTTTGTTATAAAATTTTGTAAACAAGTGATTTTTCTCCTTCACTGATGTGCGCCAATGAGGCTGCAGTGATGGGCACTAATAGGCTGCACTGATGGGCACTAATGAGGAGGTTAAAGGATAGCTTCACCTTTGAGAACATATTACATGTTTCACTTGTTTTTCAGGTGAACATGTAACGCGTGTCCGTTCCTGGAGCAGCTTAGTGTTCCGAGCCCTCTGTGTGACAGCAGTACGGGGAGAAGTTCCCTGTAGTAGTCACTTTTTGAAAAGAGCGCAGCTATGCAGGGCTCCACCCCCACGGCTGTGCCAGTCATTCACAGAGTACTTTGTAGATGTTGGCTTGTAGTTCTCAATGAACGACCATGGTACTGTTGAGCGCTGTGGTAGTTCACTGTTTCATCCTGTCAGTGTGAAACAGCCTGTACGATGTATGGGCAGACAGCTTACGGGTACCTACATGGCATCAGCGATCTGCTGATCACTGGCGCAATGCATTTTACAGGCCCTTTATTAAAAAAAAAAAAAAAAAATCTAATTTATTTATTCTCTCTCTATATCTATTTTTTTTTTTTTTTTTTTTCAAAATCCAGGCAATGAGTATATCTCCTCGGAGATCTCACAGCCTTCTAGGCTATAGTCTCACATCTGAGGTGGCTACTGGACCAGCCTCCCTGCGGTCATGATCTTGTGCATGGTCAATAGATGCCAGCTGTGAGTCAACAGCTCCTGAATGCACGGCAGCAGTGCAGAAGAGGAGAAGCCCTGTGAAGAATCAGTACCGTGGAAGACAGCAATGGACTACATAGACTGGTAAGCATGTGTTTTTTAAAAGTCAGCAGATACAGTTCCTCTTTAAAGAACCTATTCCCTTTAAATGTCTTCTGAAGTTCCACAGGACCCCCAAAAACCAGCATATTCTCATATATACATAATGACTTTTGGATGTAAAATCGAAATTTTGGATGGGCTTACTAGAGGTCATGCTTTACTGCTCTATAAGCATGATGGGTGAGCTTAGAACAGCTTGTCAACGGAAGGTAGGTATCCCCTAACTTCCCTAACCAGTATTCGTGCTACACAGAAAATGTTTAGCATCTGTAAGCCACAGAAATAGAATGAGACTGTGCATTCTTGCAAGCCTAATCACTACTACACGTAATTTAGGTAGCTTACATCATAGGGGACCATTTGTTTCATCTGTTTAGCAGTTGATCACTGCTCTTGTAGCAATTCATTGATAGATATTTAGTACCATCTCTATTTCAGTGTTTCCCAACCCTAGAGTGCCTCCTGAGCTATTTAGAGGTTCCTTGAGCAATGGTGTATTGATATCCACCATCAACCCAACGGGGTAAGGTGTCACTCCTTCATGGACTACCAATGACAGATGACACTGCAATTTAGAATAGTGAAAATTATTTTGTGTATTTTAAAATACACAATTGTCAAACACGCCCATAGGTACAATTCACTACTCAATGCATGATATAGTCATGGCAAAAAATATTGGCACCCCTGCATTTTTGTCAGATAATGCACCACTTCTCCCAGGAAATTGTTGCAATTACAAATGTTTAGGCACTCTCATATTTATTTCTTCTGTTTGTATTGGTATGACAAAAAAGTGGAGAAACAGAAAGCCAAATCTGACACATTCCACGCAACACTCCAAAAATGGACTGGACAAAATGATTGGCACCTTCTCAAAATTGTAAGACATAATTGCACTCCAAGTGTGTGATGCTCCTGTAATTTGTAATTAAACTCACCTGTATCAATTAACAGGTGCTGACAATATATAAATCACACCGGCAACCAGTTAAAATGGTGAAACATCGACTCAACCTTTCTATTCTGTGTCTCTGTGTGCCACATGGAGCATGGAGAAGAGAGAGAAAGAGCAGCAAAGAATTGTCTAAGGATTTGAGATCAAAAATTGTGGGAAAGCATGGACAATCTCAAATCCATCTACCGAGATTTTAATGTTCCTGCATCCACTGTGCGCAACATTGTTAAGAAGTTTACAGCCCATGGAACTGCAGCTAATCGCAATGGACATGGACGAAAGAGAAAAATTGATAAAAGATTGCAAGGAAGGATTGTTCAAATGGTGGCTAAAGAATCTCGATCAACTTCCAAACAAATTCAAGCTGACCTTCAGGCACAGGGTACAACTGTCAGCTTGCACTATAATGTTGCCATCTGAATGAAAAGGAATGCTACGGTAGGAGATCCAGGAGGACCCCACTGCTGACACAAACATAAAAAAGCCAAATTGGAGTTTGCCAAAACTTACCTGAGGAAGCCAAAATCCTTTTGGAAGAATGCGCTGTGGACAGACGAAACAAAATTACAGCTTTTTGGTAAAGCCCATCATTTTACTGTTTTCAGAAAAAGAAATGAGGCTTTAAAGAAAAGAATACAATCCCTACAGTCAAACATGGTTGAGGTTCACTGATGTTTTGGGGTTGCTCTGCTAATTCAGACACTGGAAGTCTTGACCCGGTACACGGCATTATGAAATCTAAAGACTACCAAAGAATTCTGGGGTGAAATGAAGGGCCCAGCGTCAGAAAGTTGGGTCTCCATCAGAGGTCATGGGTCTTACAGCAGGACAATGACCCAAAGCCTACATCAAAAAGCACCCAGAAATCGTTTCAGTCAAAACACTGGAGAGTACTAAACTGGCCAGAAATAAGTCCAGATCTCAATCCCATAGAGCAGCTGTGGAGAGATCTCAAAACGGCAGTTGGGAAAAGGAACCCTTTCAATCACAGACCTGGAGCAGTTGGCGAAAGAAGAGCTGTCCAAAATTCCAGTAGAGAGGTGTAAGAAACTTATTGAGGGTTACAAGAAGTGACCGATTTCAGTTAAATTCTTTTCCAAGGGGTGTGCTACCAAATGAGAATGCATGAAGGTAAAAAAAATCCTTCAGCCTTTACAACCACTTCAATGCATTCCTTGCATTAAGATAAAAAATGTTTAGGCAGCAGAATTGTCCCCCACACCCCCTTATACCTACCCCAGTCTTCATTTGATCCAGTGTTGTGCCCAGCAGCAGTCTTCTCTCCTCTCTCCCTTTTGACACAGGCCTGACAGGCAGCAGAGAGCAGTCAAATTCAATGAAAAGGGAGCGGGGGTCGTGGCTGAGCTGTACTGTTTGTTTCAATAGAGGCACATGTGTGACTTGGGATTGAGCCCACATAAGTGTACCATAGCAAGCAGGACACTGACAAAAGAGGAGAAGCCCAGAGTGCCACACGGGGGACCTGAGAAGAGGAGGTTCAGGCCTGTTTTATGCAATTCCACTACACAGAACAGATAAGTATAAACCGGTTTGTCATTTAAACCCTTTCTTGCCGAGACCTCCCAGCCCTTTAAGAGCTTGTAGATGCTGAGAGGGGGAGGCGGGCATTTGGGCCATGTGACTGATTGGCTGTCACATTGGTCACATGATCAGAAAGCTACCAATGGCAAGTATGCATTGGGAACTTACTGATCATTGTTGGCTACCATGCTGGGAGTGTGCAGAGAGCATGCCCTCAGCATGGTAAGTGGTTTAAAGCAGGCCGCATATATGTGGCCACCTGGTATAAAGGCCCACCCACCGACCGAGAGGCCACATATAAGCATGCGGCCAGCGCCAAGTAGTTTAAAAAAAAAAAAAAAAAGACTTTACAATCGGTTTAATCTGTTACCTATTTAGCACTCTCCCCTCCCTCCTAGATTGTAAGCTCCAAGGAGCAGGGCCCTCGAACCCCTCGTGTATTTCATTGTACTATCTCATATATTGTCTCCCATTGTAATGTACAGCGCTGAGCAAACTGTTGGCACTAAATACTGTGTAATAGTAATAATAATAATACTAATAGTAATAATATTTATATAAAAAGGAAAACATGTTTACAACTATCTTTTGTCAACATCTAGGGATAGTTTTAAAAAAGAATTACAAAGATGTATTTACATTTTTGCTCGCATCTACAAAGTAAAGGACATGTTTCCTCAGTTCCAGCTGCAGCCTTCAGTACCTCTAATCTATTATACACATCAGTGACCTTCTACCCCCTTTTCTCTGGGCGAGCAGTGTTGATGTCTTCTATTCCTTCTTCTCAGATATATACAGGATTAGCAATGAGCTTGCATTCAGCATGCATATAAGAGGATATCTCCATCCACAACACAGTGCTTGTGGGCAGCCTCAGAATAAAGTATTGTTGTTCTCATTATAAACATATGCAAACTGTACTGAAGCTCAGATTCAGTCTATGCACAGTTTAGCGACACTGACCTTTCCCCTCCCTTCTGTACACACAGAAGCTATGCTGATGTGTCCCCCTCCTCTACACATATACAAGCTGACCCCTTTCTCCCTTTTCTTCTGTGCAGACAA